CTGGCTCATGAGGGACCTTGCTATAAGAGCAGTTCTGGTGGAGGACAGAGGCTATCTAAAAAGCCACTGGCCAGGCCAGCCCATGGCCCGGGATCCTATATGGCTGACTGTACTGTTGGAGTCCTGGACCCGGTGACTTGAAAAACATGCCAGGTGCATGTGCGTGTGCCCCAAATCCCAGAAGGATGGAGAGATGGAGGAGAAGATACTGTGCCATGATCATTCCCCATGGGAGTGCTTTTTCACTTTCTCTCTCTCTCTTTTTCTTCCTCTTTGCTTTTCTTTAGTGAGTGCATGCACCCTCTGGCAAAATAAAAAGAAACAAAAAGGCTATCAGCCTAGGTGTGGTGGTAGAGGTGGTAGGGTGCTGCCTGAAAATATTGCAACTGTTGGGGAAGCCTGGCTTCAGATCCTGAGTCCACCTAAACAGGCCAGGGGTGCCTGCACACCTGTGATTCGAACTTGATGAGAATCTGTGGGGAGGGTCACGGTGTAATGAGACCCTATCTAGAGTACTTTTCTTTCTCTCTCTCTCTCTCTCTCTCTCTCGATAAATAAACTTGAAAAACAACACATTAAAAGAAGCTACTGCCTCAGAAGGTCATTGGCTCGGGATGAAACGCCATTATGCACTGAAGTCGTCCACCCAGGTTCCAGACTCCTAGTCTACCACCATTTTCTGACCCTGTGGACTCTGTCCCTAGTTCCTGATGCCTCATTCTGCCATTTCCTAACCTGGGCCTTTCTTGCCGCTGTCCCGCTTATCTGTCTCTGTTCCTCTCGGACTTGCCCTGTGTTCTGCATCATCTCTCAGGCATGGTTTGACCTTTTACAGGCCTGACTTGTCCTGTGGCCATCCAAGGCAAGATAAAAAGAATATCTAATTCCTATTCACTGTGTGCTACCAGATAACGATGCGACTTCAGGTAAGCAACTGAACTCACCCTGGCTCAGTCTTTCTCTGTGACACCTGGGGTTGTAGTGGAAGGTCTCTTAGAATTTGAAGACACTAGAAACAACAGAGGCTCTTCCCTGCCTCCCTTCCCCATACATCTTCCATCTAACCCTATTTCATATACTGGGTTCATGATGTATTTTTCCATTTTTCTAAGCAAAAATGCATTATGACTTTTCTGATGACCCAATATATAATCACAAGTACGAAGTACTGTGACATACAGGTGGGTCTCCCATCACCCATTCAAACACAACAACTTGTAAAGATACAGCATTTGTTCTTTATTTGCTCCACATTGTATAGTTTACAGTTTACAGTGGTTAGACAGTGTATTATGCCTTCGTAGACATGTTCCCAGTATTTAAAGGGAGCTCCTCCACATAAGCAGCAGGAAAATGGCCTTTTTTCCCATTTAAAGATCCAAACCACCATCCTTCTTCTTTTTTTTCATGAATAGTCACAATGTCACCTGAAAAGATAACACACTTAGTTAGACAAACAATTCTCTGGGTTTAAACATGTCTGATTGCTTTCAAATAGTTCCTTGGTAGCATCATTTTTTAAATTGATTCAGATGAAGCAAAAATTTTTTAATGCCTCTGTGTAAAGCAGGCATAACCCAAAAAAAATACTAAAAAGGGTGAAATAATGAACAACTGAGTTTGCCATGAAATAGTTTGCTTAAAAACAGAAATGCATTGAATCATGCTGCCTGGTTCCTTTTGTATGTAGCATGTCAACCCAGAAGAAATGCTGAGGCAAATTAAATCAAGCAAAGGAATTTATTCGGGCCAACGTTAGGATGATCACCTGGGCACCGCAAAATCCAAGTTGTCCTGAAAAGTATGTGCAACGTCTTAAGATTTCAGGATGATTTTAAAGGCAAAGTCACGAGAGGAAGGGTTGAGCAGCAGAACTCTTGTCCAGCAGGGACTGATAAATTCTATAACAAGGGGAGCAGAATGACCTCATGACCACTGGAGCCACTTTTCTTAATCTGTGCTTAGTCTTAAGCAAAGTATGGAGACAGTGAATCTGGAAGGTAAAGGAGGAATATATTCGGATGTTCATAAAGCAAAGAAGTTGATTAAGTTAAGAAAGCATCTTGAGCTATTTTAGATGTCGATTCCTAAGAAAGTCACAAATGTGACAAGTTTCATTTCCTTCTAGTGCTGAGTCAAGTAGACTGTAATATCCTATTTTCAGGGAAACTGTTTTGGAATGTATCAACTTCCTTACAGTTTCAGTTAGATGGTGTGACATTTTAGAGTGACTACATTTCAGTTTGGTCTTTTGGAGCCTAGAGCAGGTGCTCAGGCCAATATAATGACATCCTATAATTTCTATCTTAACAATTGAAAGAGTTATCACTAAGTTCTTTTTCTGTGTTCCTGCTTTAAGGGTTTGCCTCGTTGGTGGCCATGCTAGTTTGGTATGTTGACTGCAGTGACTATATGACAACTAGTCATCTTCTCTTAAGATCAAGACTGCTTCTCTCCATTACACCATCCCAAATCCTAACTGATGCCTTAGCACACAGTGTAGCTCCCAACTGTCAATTTAGATAACTTTAATAAAACATCTATTTGACGATGATACTTTCTAAAAAGAAATGAATCAAGTAAATAGAATTCCTAAGAAATAATGCCCTTGTCTGATCCTCTATTTTCAAAGATGTCATTCCTCTATTAATAACCCTGAAGTTTAGGGACCAACAGAAGACATAATGGGTATGTGTGTGTGTCGTGGACTCCCATGTAGTCAACCGTGGTTCCATTCCTAGATCCGGTGGTTTAAAACTCATGCTGGGAGCACGTATGTTTGTGTGCCCAAAATCCCAAGAGGAGCATGGAGAAGAGGTTGTAGCGTGGCCATACCCTCTGAGGGGCAATTTCTCGCTTTTTGTCTCTCTGTGTCTCTCTGGTGAGTGCATGCACCCTATATAAAAAAATCTCTCTTTTTAAAAAAAAAACAAAAACCAGAAAAGAAAAAAGAACTCTAAAGTTTAACCTGATGCCTCAAATCAAAGAGTCCTCCCTGGCTATTTCCTGTATGTCAAATAGAAGCATTCACTTTCTCTAGACCCAAGAGTCACTTTTCTTTAGCATCATTCTGAGGTAAGTTTTTTGCCTTCCTTTTATTCTCCCCCCAACAATTTTCTTTCAGAAGTATAATGAAGAGGATTAGCCCCTTTCTATCTTTTCTTAATAACAAATCACTGTTTATTCTTGTAGGAAATCATTCCTAGTCTAAGTTCTCCCTTTAATGAGTTCTTTCATGTCAATAGATGGTTCCACATTATCTATTCACAGAAATTTAAATAAATGGTTTGCAGTCGTATTGCCAGCTGCCCTAAGCTTCCAATGTCATGTTTCATTTAAAGAAGCTACTTACAGTATAAAGTATAAATAGAGTTTGAAACCACCAGAGAGCTGAAAACGAAAAAGAAAATCAATTTATCTGAACTATGTAACTCCAATTCAGAACTCCTGGGTTCCAGGTAGTGTGTAGGAAATTGTTGTTTGTTTATACAGGGGAAAAAATAATTGCCTAGAGAAATCTGACTCGCACACGGAAAAGGAAGCACTCGCTAAACAATAGCAAATTTGAGACTTCTTGTTTGACTAAAATATCTATCTTGATTTTCCAATGACTCTGCAAGTTGTGTCCTACTCATGGATAATAAGCTTTTTCCTATGACAAAGCTATTTCTCACTAAGTTTCCATTTCCAGATCTCTACCTTAGTGTTAATGTCCAAATGTGGTTGCTAAGATACGTAAAGTCAAGGCTGGACACTTTTTCTTGTTTAATAACATTGAGGTTTGTATAAATTGCTATGGAAATCTGTACCATGTTAAATAAAAACATGGGATACAAAGTGTGTGTGTGGGGGTCTGATCCTTAGATTGGCCAGAGAATGCTTTCCTGAGAAACTAGTAGGAAACATTATGCTGGGAGTCAGTCGACCCAAGTTCTGGAACTCATTTTTACACTAAGAGGTTTTACGCATTCCAGTGTATCTAGCTTTGGAAAAATAAAAAGGTGGGGTTATAGCCAATGACTTTCCATTACCAACTTCTACCAGTGTAGCACTGTGATTAAGAGCACAACTATTCGAGTTCAAATCTGTGCCACCACTGCCTGACTTTCACCAAAGTACTGAACCTTTCTGTACCTCAATTTCCACAGCTATAAAACGGGACTAAATAGCAATACTTATCCTTACAGGGTTTTGCGAATATTAGATTGGGCAGTACACTTGCAACAATGTCTGGCACATAGTCAACGAGGACTAAGTGTTAGCTATTGTTCTGTGAGCTTTTGTGTTTTATCCTTGAAGATGGGTAATTATAAACCGGGACCAATTTGACATAATAATAATGTTAGGGCTGTTGTGCTCAAACAGTTTTATTCATGTTAAGGATCTCAACATGGGAAGAAAATATTTGAGAGGGATCAGATGGTGGCACAGCAATCAAATGCAACAGTTCTGCGAAGCAGACCTACATAGGAAAGATGCGTGTTCAAGTCCAGAGACCTCCCTGAGTACGCTGGGTACACAGGGATCATGCCAGTCCATACTCCAAGGCAATCTGAAGGCTTGGGGTGGATTGCAACAAGCTCCTGCTGGTGTTGCTGTCTCTGTCTCTCTCCCTCTTGCTCATTTACTCAAGGAAGAAATAAATAAACTTTTAAAAATTATTAAAAAATAAAATAAAGTACCTGAGAAGGATTCTTACCTTTTTCCAAATTTAATTCATCATCTTGCCTGGCTTGAAAAGCATATAAGGCCTTGCAAAGACTGTTGCCGAGCTGGGTTACTCCAGAGGCTGAAAGTCAGATTAAGTTGCAATTACTTTGCTGTGTTAGCTGGCAAGGTGATTATGACTGGAAGTTCTTGGGTTATTTAACAATGTGGTGCAGAGTTTAAATATACTGACATTTGGGAGTCAGTCGACCCAAGTTCTGGAACTCATTTTTACACTAAGAGGTTTTACGCATTCCAGTGTATCTAGCTTTGGAAAAATAAAAAGGTGGGGTTATAGTCAATGACTTTCCATTACCAACTTCTACCAGTGTAGCACTGTGATTAAGAGCACAACTATTCGAGTTCAAATCTGTGCCACCACTGCCTGACTTTCACCAAAGTACTGAACCTTTCTGTACCTCAATTTCCACAGCTATAAAACGGGACTAAATAGCAATACTTATCCTTACAGGGTTTTGCGAATATTAGATTGGGCAGTACACTTGCAACAATGTCTGGCACATAGTCAACGAGGACTAAGTGTTAGCTATTGTTCTGTGAGCTTTTGTGTTTTATCCTTGAAGATGGGTAATTATAAACCGGGACCAATTTGACATAATAATAATGTTAGGGCTGTTGTGCTCAAACAGTTTTATTCATGTTAAGGATCTCAACATGGGAAGAAAATATTTGAGAGGGATCAGATGGTGGCACAGCAATCAAATGCAACAGTTCTGCGAAGCAGACCTACATAGGAAAGATGCGTGTTCAAGTCCAGAGACCTCCCTGAGTACGCTGGGTACACAGGGATCATGCCAGTCCATACTCCAAGGCAATCTGAAGGCTTGGGGTGGATTGCAACAAGCTCCTGCTGGTGTTGCTGTCTCTGTCTCTCTCCCTCTTGCTCATTTACTCAAGGAAGAAATAAATAAACTTTTAAAAATTATTAAAAAATAAAATAAAGTACCTGAGAAGGATTCTTACCTTTTTCCAAATTTAATTCATCATCTTGCCTGGCTTGAAAAGCATATAAGGCCTTGCAAAGACTGTTGCCGAGCTGGGTTACTCCAGAGGCTGAAAGTCAGATTAAGTTGCAATTACTTTGCTGTGTTAGCTGGCAAGGTGATTATGACTGGAAGTTCTTGGGTTATTTAACAATGTGGTGCAGAGTTTAAATATACTGACATTTTCTCAAAAGAAAATTTTACATAATTTTCAATCCTTGATTTAATAAACATTTATAATGTACTTTCTATGTGTATAAACTTTGAATGACATATTACTAAAAACCGTAGTATAATATAAGAAATTGTAAGTCTGGAGAAGAAAGTTATTGTAGTAATAGTAGCAATAAAGATGATACATTGAAATGGTTTCTCTCATGAGGCTAGCTGACATCGGTTAGGTAACGTGTGTGGTAGTCACATGTATGTTTTGGAACACATACACATACACAAATCTGCTATTCAAGTGTAGACAGGGGATATTTGGAGCTTGTGTATCTTATCATCATCCCCAGAAGATTATGAAATCACTTTTTTAAACAATGCAACAGTGACTCTTCAGTATATTATGCAGATCATAATGTCCTATGATTTATTGAAATTCTTTTTTGCCAGTTTCAATCAACACACTAGAGTAAAGATGATGGTACTGCTGTTGAACAGTGAGGGAAACAGACAAGACCTCGTGCATGCATGTATGTGAGTGTGTACATGTATGTATGCGGGTGTGTGCAGAAAGATGAAGAGCACAGACGGATGACTGAAGCCAGACAGCTGAAGAAAGAGGGTGCACAGGACACAAGTTCCAGCCTCAACACTGGCCCTGGCAAGCCACCTGGATCAAGCCACCTGTTTCTTATAGCAGGGATGGGGTTTCCACGGAAGTTTAGAGGAGCTATGAATATAGAGCTGCAAAGCTCCTCACCGTAGTTTAGGGGTGGTTGAGCGGATTTTTAGCTGCTTGAATTATGTGGATGCCAGTTATCTGACATCTGAAGTAACATCCCATATTATAAAATACTTTCCCCAACCCTTTCTTCTTGACTGCTTATAACTTTTTGTATTAAATTGGTACACAAAACTATAGGTGCTGACAAATTAATCATTCCTAACTGAAATGTAAAATTCTTTGAGCAAATATAGGTCAGCGTGGCTCTGAAAATAAAATTTAAACATGGCAATGTGCTTTACCAATAGGACACAGTCTAAAATTATTCTAGACCTGGAACTACCTGGAGATGAGGAACTTGGATTGCTCTGCCCGCCAGAAGGTACCCTGCTGACAGGATTCTCTAATCTCTTCATCAAAAAAGGCCGAGATATTTTTACATAACTGTGAGTATGCTCCTGTTGAAAAAGTTAAAAAGAAAATTTAAATAACATTATTTGTCCTAAGTATTCCTGGAAATAAATCCTTCTATGACTGTTTTTCTCAGGTCCCCCCCACCCTCATTTGGAGGAGAGGTATATAAATAAAGTATTCAAAACATTCCTAAGACTTAGAATGTTTGAGCTTTCCTGCTTCTAAAGCCTTAATATTTTCAGAATATATTCTGAACAGTGTGCTTTTTAGCATGTGTTTCTATTTTTGACCTGTGTATCTAGGCCAAATAATAACATTCATAATGTTATTTCTATAGAATTCATTTTAATTAACTTTACACATGTGAAATTATCATGATTCTGTCTAAATGACTAATACCATTTCAGAATTAATTTCTCCCATCCTTTCTTTCTCTCCCTTTCGTTCTTCCTTCTTTCTCTTTCTTTCCCCCTGCATGAATACATTACATATTGGCTCACTCAATACTATGTAAATTATAGTCAATTCTATGTACATTATCATCGGCAGGTAACTTTCCATTTTTATGTCCATTAAAATGTTTTGCACTCCTCTCCCAGACTCCCGTTCAGATTTTTGAACCCTTTATGAAGGAAACTGTTTTCTTATTGCAAGACAGTTACAGCTCTCTCTTCTGTTAGGAAACAGAAAAACAGTCACGAGCATAGCAAACTGTGAGTGAGTCACCTCCTCAGTCGCAATTCCTAAAGAGTTAAATGTGGAGAAAATGTGCGTGTGTGTGAATTTAAAACATTGTACTCATGCATTAGCCACATCTTATACTGTATTAAATAGGCAAATGCACTTCACGAAATCTGTCAATTTAGGCTGACATGAACGCTAAAATTTCAATTAATAGAAATTTTACTATAAAAACATGTTCTAAGGATAAAGTTAAGAAATGAGGAGGAAGAAGGAATCCAAGTGTTTTCACTCCTCATGTAAATTGAGCCCCCCATGTATTCAGTTGTGATTAGCTCTTGTACTGTGTTGAAAAGAGGAAGCAATATTTATCCTAAGATTCTGCTATTAGGACATGGGACCTATGATTCATATCACTCATGATGACTTCTTTACCCTATTGCTACTTTAGGCCATCCCACCCAGCAAGCTCAATCAAGAAATCGCAACCATATTCACCTTTTCTTTCCACTTGAAGATGGAGTTACTACAAGGATGACTGGGTTTAGGTCTTTTCTCAAGTTCTGCTAATACTGATGACAGTTTATAGGAGTTTGCTTGCAGAAGGTCCAATTTCAAGTTGTTCTGTGGACACATCATTTGGCCATGTGAGTAAGTTTCTAGAAAGTGAGGCACAACTAGGCGGACAAAGGGATGTCAAGATAAATATCAAAATGACAAAGAAGTCTAAAAAAGTACACATTAAACTCGCAAACAGAAACACACAGACAATACTGAAAAGAAAAAGAAACTAAAAAAAAAAAGTCATTTAAGTATTCTAGAAGGAAGTCTTAGTTGTCAAGTACATCTTCTGTGCTCTTGTACACAGCACAAACAGGAAACCTGCGCAGATCTATTACTCAGTGTTTTGTGGCAATGAATTGCTGTATTCGGTTTTCTTCTAGGAAACAAAAAGGGAATAACAAGTGTTGACTGCAGAAGGTAGACATTCGGGGCAGGGGGCGCTATGAGGAAGGGCAGTAGAGCTACAGGTGCTCAATATTGTGAACAGAATAGAACTGAACTAATATTAATTTCTATTTAATTTCAAACTAAAGTAGATATGAGTTGCTTTTTTTTTTCTATGAGGGAGTGGAGTCACATTATCCAGAAAGTGTACAGTGACACTTCTGGAAACAGTATTTGAGGTTGCTTGAAGTATGAAAATAAGGAATGGAGTAAAAGATAAACTCTTGGTTTCTTCTTGTCCATGATTTGACCTTGAACTGGAAACTTTATAATTACATCTTCGTTGAGCTGAGTCCAGTCAGCACAAATCAAATCATGGAATTTAAACTTTGAAGTTTCTTGCTTATCTAACCTCTTCCTCACCATTCTTCTTCTCTTCTCCATACCTTCAGCATGGGGATTCCTAACCTTATCATCCCTGCCAGGGGCCACAGCCATAGACAGAATACCCAGTTAATAGGGAAGGTCTCTAATCCTTGGAGCAATTCACTGCATAGTGAGATAAACTTACCAAAGATGAAATATAAAATCCCCACTGGTCCCTCCCTCTCCCATACTATCTACCATTCTATCCAGTCTTCATTTGAAAGCATCACAGAGCCAGCTAAGTCCTCTGATATGTGGCACTCCTTCCAGTATCTGAGGACAATGTCTAACCTAAATGCCTCCAGGTTCTGTAACAATTCCTCATATAATACGGCTTGCCAACACTCTTGATTCAAATATAGCACTTTAATAACTAAGAGACAATGAAACAGCAAAGAATCAAAGTGAGGCAGAGTTGCCTCCTCCAAGAAACCTTCCTTGGATAACCTAAAGTCTACCAGTATCACTAGTTTCCCGCTACTCAGTGGCAGAGCAGGTGGAAAGGTGTTCCACAGGTTTTCAACATCCGCTATTTGAAGGTTCATACCAGATCCCAAGTACTATGAGTTCAGGGGTCAGATCCTCTCCCACCTTGCATCCTGCACTGTGTGCATGAGGTTATATGTGTACCCAGGTGATCCTAATACATGCTCTATGCTGGTAATGGCAATGGTAAAATTCTGTGCACGAAAAGCGAGAGAAACAAACTGTAATTCAATGATGTCATAAAATGCTCTTTATTACTTTATTTTGCTAAGGATTTCTTGCATGGAATTAGCTAACTAAATGTCTTGTACTATCACGGAAAGTGTCCTACAGTCTATTTGATAATTTCATAAAAATTATAGCTATGTGTCACCAGAAGCATTGGACCTTTGCTCTCAACTGAACAGAATGCAGGACTTTCTTTGAATGAAAAGTGTTGAATTAGGTTCATCTCTGCAACAACATCACCCCTAAAGGCAACCTATACTATTAGGTCATTAGGAAAGTCATGACATAGTTTACTATGCAAAAATGCATCATGACTTTACTGCTGACCCAACAGAAAATAGGTAGGCTCTACCTGGCCACGTCTGCTACTGTCACCAAAGGGCTATCGAAATTGACAGTTTGGGCAGAATTATTAGATGTCTACTTTCATAAGTGAGCAAGACGATCTACAAGATAAAGAAAACTGGCCTAGGGTTGGTCCTGCATATGCATGCCCAGCATGCACGTTCAACATCCCAATGGGATGGAGGGATGGAGGGATGGAGAAAAAGGGAATGTCCAATGATCATGCACCACTAAACAGTGTTCTCTCTCTCCCTCTTTGTCTGTCCCTCTATCTCTCTCTGACAAGTGCACACACCCTCTGGCTCCTAAGCAAAAATAAAAACAAAAACAAAAACAAAAAGGAAGAAAAAGAAAGAAAACTTGCCTACATTCCAGACCCTTCTAAACATTGCTAAACATTTTATCTCTTCCTGATATTTTTCTTACATCAGTCTGATCACTCTAATCAGAGCAAATTCCCATATATTGCACATATAGGTAATACATATATGCTCATTTTAATTTCTATATAAAATGCATGATTGTTTTTCTAATTGCCCCCCCTTTTATTGAGAGTTTTTTGTTTGTTTGTTTGTTTGTTTTGCTATAGGGTGCATGTGCTTGCCAGAAAGACAGAGAGACAGAAAGCGAGAAATCACCCCCAGGGGGGATGGTCACGCTGCAATCCCTTCTCCTCCATTCTCCTCTTGGGATCTTGGGCATGCACGCACACGTGCCTGGCATGAGTTTAAGTCACCAGGCCCGGGACTTTAACCGCAGCTGACTGCATCAGAGGCCAGCGACATAGCCATTATGCTAACTGCTGGTCCCCCTAATTGCCCTTTTAACTGCTGGTCCCCCTAATTGCGGACAACCTATTCCATCATCCACACAAATATCTGTGAGGCTGTTGGAGTCAGGCTCTCAGCAAAAAGACCAGGAGCCCTTCTCCTTCCCCTCCTCTAATCACCTGCCCCTGCCCTACTCCCACCGCAGGGAGCCTAACTTTGAAGTTGCTCCTTGTCTCCTCACATCCTAGACTGCCCTCTTCCCTCGGGGTGGCCACATCCCCGTTTCCTGCTGGTGTGTTCCAAGGATGGGTTATCAGATGAGAGATGAACAGAAAGTAATATCTTAATAAACATTACTACTTTTTGAGTTCCTCCTCTGAGGACGGTGCTAGCATTTTCTAAATAATATTTCAGCCTCACAAAAATCTTATCAGGTAGGTGCCAATATCCCCCATTTGACAGTTGAGGAAATGAAAATTGTCTCAGGTCCCTGTAAACGGCAGAGCTAAATCTTCATGGAGGCCTTTCTGAACGCAGACCTCACATCTTGGGTCATGTTCTGAACATGATTTTCAGGCCTTTAAGGAATGTATTTTGGAGAATTCTATTTTAGACACAATTCTTTTCCTAGGAGGACACTCAAGCAAACATTTCTAGGTCATTGGGTTGTTCCAGATCCCTTAAACTATTTATGAAGAGAATGACCCTCTAAGCTTTCTGCCTAGATTGTTCTTTGTCAAGAGGAAGGAAAGGCAAAAGGAAGTCAATGGTCCAAAAAACGAATATTCTAAAGATAACCCTTTCAACCACTAAATCTTGGAAACTGCTCTCTGCAAATATTTACCTCATCCATTAACGCTGCTGTGTCTTTTTGGCTCTTTGCGTCGGAGAAAGAGGAGTTGTTGTTGTAGGCATTAAGGATTCGTTCCAGGCCTGAAAATGAAATCATGCTTTCAGTCACCTTTTAGTCTATCTTGGTGAGATACAACTGGCAGCCAGCCACTTTCAAGGTGGCCTGAACCCAGAAACATTACCAGTAGGACATCCCAAATGGCTGGGGAGTTACGTATGTAGTTGTTACTTAGTTTTACTGAATGAATAATGAGAAATAAACTGTTCATTGACCTATACCTTCATTTAATAACATTTGAGGTGGTGCTTAAAGTGTCCTGGTTGTTTTCTTTTGGTTGACCTATTATAGTATTTACATCACTGAACATTTCGTGCCCTGGTCTTCCTTTCCAGCACTGTATATTGTGATGAGTGGTCATGATTCCATGAAACAAACTAATGTGGAGACATTTTTAAGAGCCACTAGCCATTTTTTAGAGCTGCTGCGCCTTCTAACATGCCTACCTCCTAAGTTTAGGGTTTAATTCGTGATTTTTATATTATTTATTGAGTTTGCACAAAGGAAGACACAAAAGCCCCAAATGCCCTGTGCACAAACGGTTTAGCATGTTTGAAACTAAATAAATTGTTTCTTATTCCAGACAATTTCAGAAACATGGTAAAATACTGTATTTCTGAAGATGGTAGTACAGTATTTAAATGGCTCTCACAAATAGACCAAAATGTCATTTTCCATTCTTTTGCTCTGTCTTTTCTTTTTTATCTCTGTTCATTCACACATTTAATTTTGATATGCAATTCTTTAAATGCGATGATCTTTACCTCACTCAGTAAAAGCAGATTAATCCTAACTTGGATGAAACCTGAGTATAATACTTTCCCTTATCAGGACACGCAAAGAGATAATTACACACCTTCCTTGTCTCTTGAGGCTTTTTCAATGTCTCTTTGCAATCTTGACAATTTTGGTTTTATTAAAGACTTTCGTCTCTCTTTATCCATTACATTGCTAGGATCTTCTTCCTTTAGAAATAATAATAATAAAAAAGAATGTTTCACAAGTTAAGGGGGAGAAAGTAAGAGCTGATACTTCCATTTGTGCCAAGATTTTATCTAAATGCATTTAGTTTTAACTTTCAAAGAGAAAAAAAAAAAAAAAAAAAAAAAAAAGCAAAGCAAACGAACAAACAAAAATCAAGATAAGCTTTGTATTTTACATACACACATTGTTCTACCCATTTAGATCAAAGGGTAAGAAAACGTCTCCTAGTTCACAACTTTTCAATACATGGCTGGGAACATTCTTTGATAGGACAAATCATTCTTAGAGGATGAGTCTTAAGATAGTTATTTCAGTTTCTTGGTAAATAAATCTACTTATTGGGTACTTTTCATTCTTTATTTACTTTATTCAGGGTGGTGTAATTTAATGACCCAAATATAATTTTGCATATGTGTCTCAGGCTAGGACTGCTGTAGGTATGAAGCAAATGATCATTGAATTCTGTGTTGGCTTGGTACCAGGAACGTGTGCTAAAACGCGAAGGTTCTGCCTAGAATGGGTTTATAATTTAGTGCAGCCGTGAAGTATAACATTAAGAGAACTAACAACATAAAGCTTTGTGCATGCATGAATGGAAATGGTGCAGGTACCCGGAGCAGGGGCAGACAAAAACTTCAAGGAGGCTAGACGTCTTGCTAGGACTTTTTAACCAAGTGGAAGGGGGGCAAAGGCTACTCTAGGTAGGAGGAACTGGCACAAGCAAAGTACAGAGGACTGTGTGAAATGTATTAGCAACAATAAATAGACCAGCTGTTTGTGTGAAAAGAGTGGGAGAAAAAATTAAACATAGTTTAGGCTGGATTTTAGGGCTGACCAGGGGATTTTACACATAGATTGGAAAGAGTCATTAATGATATCTCAGCTTTCACATGCATCGCATCAAGGGCCGAAAGGAACAGAAATTAGGATGGTGGATTGGGAGGTGGCTGAGCAAGTGTAGCAGAGGGACAGAGACCTGCAGAGAAAGTGACAAAACTTATGACTTGAGGTGGAAGCGGAGAGGGCAGGCTTCTCTGGTAGGGAAGAAGGGAAACTATGATAGTGAATACTGGTAGAAAGATTAGTGGTTTCTTTTTCTTTCTTTTTTTTTTTTCAAGAATTACTTAACTTTATTTATTCATTCATTCATTTTTTAAATTTGACTAGAGACACAGAGAGAGAAGGTAAGAAAGCAAGCCATCAGGTCCGGGACTCGAACGTGGTTGGCCATATGGCAGTGCCCAGCACGTGAACCACCACACCACTCACTAGTCCCTGAGAGATTATTTTTAAATAGATCATCATGAAAAATGGGGAAAATGAAGGTTTTGAGTAAAGGGAACATCATATGTAAAAAATAATACATGCATAAAAATACTTATGTGTTGTACATTGTCAAAGTTTTTCTTTTTCTTTTTCTTTCTTTCTTCCTCTTTCTTTCTTTCTTTCTTTCTTTCTTTCTTTCTTTCTTTCTTTCTTTCTTTCTTTCTTTCTTTCTTTCTTTCTTTCTTTCTTTCTTCCTATACCTTTCTTTCTTTCTTTCTCTTTTCTCTCTTTCTCTTTCTTTTTCTTTTTTTTTAACCATAGAGTATGTGTGCTCTTCAGGGAGAGATAGAGAGAAAGAGAGAGAGAAAGTGAGAAATCCCTTCCCAGAAGGGATGGCCACATTGCAGTCCCGTCTCCATTCTCATCTTGGGATTTGGGACATGTACACACACAACACACACTTGCCAGCATGATTTTTAAGCTGCCAACTCCAAACAGTGGAATTAGAGTTGGCTTTGTGGGATCTAGCCATCTTAATCTCCATGCCACCTCCTGGCCCAGATTGGGGCACTTTTATTATCCTTTGTAAGGAAATAGTAGGGGACCCGCAGATGGCTTAATTGTTACGTTGCTGGACTCTCACGTAGTCGGCTGCAGTTTAAATCCTGGACCGGCAGCTTGAAACGTGCCAGGTACATGTGCCTGCACGTCCAAAATCTCAAAAAGAGAATGGAGGAGAAGGGATTGCGTTGTGCCCATCTCCCCTGGGGACAGGCGTGGTGTAATTTCTCCCTTTCTGTCTGTCCAGCAAGTGCACGTGCCCTAGAGCAAAAATCTCTCAAAAACAGCAACAACAGAAAAAGAAAACAACAACAACAAAACAAACAAAAAAAGAAAATAGTAGATATATTCTGTTGTGTGTTTTCCCATCTCACAGCCCACGTAACACTATTTGGAAGAAAAGAAAGAAAATTTCTTTCCCATGTAATCAAGGATCGTTTTCACTCCCATCTCCACCTTTGATTCTGTTTTGAACAGACATTGCTATTGCTAATATACTTCACCTTTGCCAGGGTAGGATAAAGAAAGTCAGTTAAAGAAATAGCTGGCCATTTGCTGCTGTTTGGAGGGTGGGGAAGGAGAACAGTAGTGAGAATTCACTGCTGTGACTGGTCTAATCATCTCTCCTTTCTCCCCTTATCTACTTGTTCTTGGAGTGGAGGACTGGAGAGTTGGCTTTGGCTGTACTTTTGATTCTACTAAGAAGACATGACCAGTTGGCTGGTTCTACATGTCCGAGAAAGATGAGGAACACCCCCATCCTAAACCAGATCTTGAGAGCCTGAAAAAATAAAGCAGAGGAGCTCTCAGGAGTTCTTTCTGCGTATTTCGTAATTAAGGACAGTGGGAGAATGAGAAGCCAACCTTTGAGGCATGACTCATGAGGACGAAGAATCTACTCCGAGTCACAGAGAGGCAGGCTGCCTGAGCTTTGACCAGGGATGCTGGTCAGTTGTCAGGAAACAAGTTCATTGAAATTCATTGACGGAATCTCCCAAGTGCCCTTAAAGTAAGCCTAGGTAATTTGTCCAAGGTTTTCAAGGAAGAAACTGAAAAAATGCTGATCGTGATTCCTACCTCCCGAGACCCATGCCTTTGTGTAATCCCTTCCCCTTGCATATGGGTTGCACTTATTGACTTGTTTCTAAGAAACAGAGCATGATAAGATGTCACTTCTGAGATTAGCTTGTAAGGACTATCATTCCTCCCTGACTCTGTCTGTCTGGGATCCCTCATTCTGGGGGGAAGCAGGCTGTCATGTTGCAAGGTATGGAGATACTCACATGGCAAGGAAAAGATATCTTCAGCCAATAATTGGCAGGGACCAAGCCTGCTAATGCCACATGCCCGAGTTTGGAAATAGGTCTTCTAGTAGACCCTCAAGGCTTCTGCAGTTCTGGCTGACACCAATTGCAGCCTGTAAGGGACTCAGAGATGCCTAGCTAAGCACACCTGGACTACTGCCTGACCCACATAAACTGAGATGATAAATGTATTTTTTAAGCAATTAAGTTTGTGGGTAATTTGTTACACATCAATTAGTGTCAGCAACCAATACAGGCACAGTGTGATACACAGTGATTATTGATAGATCATGAAACAGGTCTGCCTGGCATTACTCATGAAAGACCAAATGTGAAGATTTGATGTAAAACCTGCTTGACTTTTTTCCTTTCCAGACACCCATTGTCCATTTTGTAAACTACATACTCTTCTTTTTTTTAAATTTATATGAACTATGAAAAGTCAACATTTTCATTTACAACACAAAATGTTTTCTTGATAATTGCTTTTGAATTTTTCAGAATGAAAAATGTCTCCCGATTAATGTAACTTCCTTCCGGTCTATACTTACAAAGTAATCTGTGAGCAGGAAGTCAGATTTGTTTTCTGAAGGTGAAATAGCAACTTCTTCTATTAGAGCCTGGATATCTTTTTCAACATCGATTTTGCTGATGGCACAGTGAATCTGCGTATGGCACTGCAGTACCAAGGAAAGTAGAAAAAGCTTGATGAGGGACTAGCAGTTAACATAATGGCTGTGTCGCTGGACTCCCATGGAGTCGACCGCGGTTCAAGTCTCAGACCCGGTGGCTTAAACTCATGCTGGACGCAAGAGCGTGCTGCCCAAGATCCTGAGAGGAGAATGGAGGAGAAGGGATAGTGACATGGCCATCCCCCCTGGGGTGTGATTTCTCACTTTCTGTCTCTCTATCTCTCTCTTTCTTGTGCCCTATAGCAAAATCTCTCAAAAAGATAAAAAGAAAAAAGCAAAAGCTTGTTGGAGAAATGTTCGTGCCCTTTCTCCCCATGCACAGTAGAAATGAAGACTCCTCACTACTCACCGTGGTCAGGGTTTGGCCATAAAGAGAAATATGCTGGCTGTACTGGTTTAAGTTACTGCATAAAAGTTGAATCCTTTCCTTCTCTAGCTCCAGGATGCTCTAAAAAAGATGGGAAATGAAGTGAGATCAGCCAGTTGTTATGCAAAACTGAAGTCATCCATCGAACACTGACACACCTAGAGAGAGTATGAGCAAACGGTCAAGCTTGCTTCTTGACTACATCACATCAAACTGCAGTGGGGAGTGACTTCCAGGAGAGGAATATGACTTGGTTTCTGTCCTATTATCCTTCATTAAGATTGTCTTAACTAGGGGCCAGCTGGTAGTATGTGGTTAGGGTGCTGAATTTCCACATGGCCAACCATCGTTCAAGTCTTGGACTTGGTGGATTGCTTTCTCTCTCTCTCTCTCTCTGTCTGTCCAAATTGAAGAATAATAATAAATACTTTTTTTTTTTTAAATATTGAACTCACAAACTTTTCTCAGGCTTCCCAAAAAGAATATAGGCAAATGCTGTGGGTTATCTGACATTCACAAACAAGTAGGGGGTGAGAGAGAGAGAAGAACAGAAGATTTTGAGATGCATCCATGAGTTCCAAAGGAGGAAGTAAAGCCTGGTAAGAGTCATGTCCATATCTTGGAAATGTATTCGGATCGAATGTTTAGAATCATGTGTAGTACATGCAGATATTCTGCTAGCCTCCGTAGGGGCAAAGATGATGAGACACCAACTATTTAAAGACACTTTCTGAGCAGAGAAAAATCCTAAAGTATGATCAATTCATAATCCTGACCTCAAATTGGGCTTGAGAGTCAGAGTTCATTGTCTGAAGATGGGATTATATTCTTCCCATTTTGTGTGAGATGATGAAAATTCTACTAGTAGATTTTTATAGTTTTGAGTAGGAAGGATTAATAAGAAAGGGAGGGACAAGAGCCAGCAGGTGGCATGGTGGCTAAGGCATTAGATTTTCACATGGCCAACTGTGGTTCAAGTCCCAGACCCTATGGCTTGAAAATCACACCAAGGGCATAGGCATGTTTGCCCAAAATCTTGATAGTAAAGATTCCTTGAGGAATGATTTTTCACTTTCCTACTCTCTGTCTCTGTTTCTCTCTGGAGAGTGACATACCCTATGGCAAAAACCAAAATCAAAACCAAACCAAACAAAAAAAAAAGTGAGGGACAGCACATTTATCTTGTAGCTACTAACATGTTAGAAAAAGATTCTTGCCACTTGAGTTACCAACTGGTGGTTTTAGGGAGGATGGAAACATTCAAAACCAAGGCATTATTGGAGAGGGTTGGGTCAGGCAGAGTATGCACGTGGGAGTTCTAGGCCATGTGAAGACAGCGTGAGGCTGCCAATGTTTGTGCCCAGAGGACTTTGGGCTTTGGCAGGGATATCAGGTGTCCAAGACAAAATTCTTCACATCCTGTTTTTGTAAGGACCATGCCTGGGTATTCGTCTTTCTATCCAGAGAAGGCCAGGCTGGTTGCTTTCTTCCCACGAACACATCTCCTTTATCCCACAAAGTAAAGAACACCCAGCAACCATCTTTCATAAGGATTTTGGGCAAATTGGTGGGTGACACCACCATAGAGAAGAGGAAGGATGGCTCTATTTCAAACTTTTGGAAGATGGGGGAGAAGAGAGTTTCAAAGCTCACTAAGTTCTTCCCTCCTGCCTCTCTTGGCACACCTGCAGGACTCACTGTCTTATTCAGTACACCAGTCCTCTGTATTCTGATGTTTTTATTTGATCTATAGTTTTTAATTATTGAAAAATCTTACATAACATAGAATGTATGGTTTTAACCATGTCTATGCATGTACTTTAGTGTCATTAAATACATTCACATTATTGTGCAACCATCACCTCATGCATCTGCAGACCTTTTAAAAAATTAGTTAGTTCCTTTATGAGAGAGGAAAAGAAAGAGAGAGAGGCATCTCCTGATAGAGCCTCCTCATGTGGCAATGCCAATTGCAAAGGCTTGCCCCAGCAAACCTTCTAGCTAACCAGGATCACAGACATGCCCTTGAGCATGCCAAGCATGTTCAGGTCAACATGAGATGCAAACCCTGAGCTGCCCATCCTACATGGCTACAATCAGTATTCCATAGCAGTACCCCCCTGCCTGTGCCACCCATAAAATGACAACTGCCTATTCCCTTCTTCCCCTAGACCCTGGTACCCATCATTTTACTTTCTGTCTCTATGCATTTAACTATTTAACTAGATACCTTATAGAAGAGGGGGCATGCAATATTTTTTCTTTGTGTCTGGCTTATTTTACTCAGCATAATGTTTTCTTCATGTTGTAGCATATGCCAGGATTTCCTTATTTATTATTTTTTTTGGAGAGATTTTTGCTATAGGGTGCATGTGCTTGCCAAAGAGAGAGAGAGAGAGAGAGAGAGAGAGAGAGAGAGAGAGAACAGAAAGTGAGAAATCACCCCCGGGGGTGGGGACAGATGGCCATGTTCCCGGCATGAGTTTCAAGCCTGCAGGTCTGGGACTTGAACCACAGTCGATCATGTGGGAGTCCAGTGACAAAACCATGACATCATTTGTTGGTTCCATGAATTTCCTTCTTTCTAAGGCTGGATACTAGTATATTGTGTGGATATACTCTACGTATCAGTGTAAAGTAATTTTAGCACCACCTTTAAATGCAAATAAGAAAGGAACTCAGGCAATAACTATGATCATCTATGCAAACCACATGCAAATATAGATTTTATGTCATGTATCCTGACTTTGGATCGAAAGGGTGGACCTGTGTCCCCATGGCCAACTTGTAGTTGTGCCAGAAGCTGCACAATATTTGTATGTCAACGGGAGCCCAAGATCTTTGTTTCCACTGGCATTCTGAATCTTTCTTCAAAATTGCACTCACCAGCCATTTGACTGTGGCTATGTACCCTCTGTCTCGCAGATAAAAGGTTAAAGATTCAGAATAGCCTGTCAAATGTTCTGCTTCTTCAAAAAGCAGACTCGATGTTCCTCACAGTTGTTTGGACCTCACATTAAACAATCTCCAAAACCAAAAAGTCTTTACCCTATAGAAAATGATCTATAAATCAGTGACTCTAGTTTAGCACTGTGAGTAAAGAACAGGGAAGAAACAAAAGCCAGGTTTTAGAACAGTGTACCTAGTGGGCAGCTGTTTCTTTACTTAGACAAATGCTAAACCACTCGCATTAATTTGAGACTAGAATAACCTGTGTCCCTGGTGGAGATGGTAATGTTTAACAGATTTTAATTACATTTCAGGGAAATCATTAAAATGATCTATGTTTGCTCATAAAAAGAGGTAGAAATAAATTCCACTGTGTAAATGGGAAATCTATATCTCATTTAATGAATTATTGCTTTCTATTATCCTTTTGTTTTTGTATAAAATGGGTGATAAATAAGATACTCTGGAGAACTCAGACTGTGCTGTCCACTGTGTAAATGGGAAATCTATATCTCATTTAATGAATTATTGCTTTCTATTATCCTTTTGTTTTTGTATAAAATGGGTGATAAATAAGATACTCTGGAGAACTCAGACTGTGCTCTAGCTCTTTCTCAATAGCACATACAAAAAAGTGCAGTCACAGAGTTATCAGAAAGAGATTTAGAGCCCGCCTGGGGCTTGGGCATCATGATAATTTATGCTCTTTATTCATTCTTTTAGTTCTTGCTCTTTTGAATTTGTACTGCAGAAGGAGCTTGGAAGGACACTTTCACTGATAGTGTTTTATAAAACATACAAAGGAAATATCATGCCCTTTCAGAAGCAGAGAATTTAGAACATATAGAAATCACCTGGACCTCTTCCTAAAATTATTCAGAGGTTCTTATACACCAGGTCTAGGGAGGTGCTTAGGAATCTGTATTTTAACAAGTACTCCAGGTGTTTGAGACATCAAAGACATCCTAGGTCCACAAATAAATGCACTTAAAAATTACTCATAATTCTTTCATCCAGAAATCATTACTTTTTTTTCCCAATAAAACTGTATTTCCTTTATTTCTTTATTTGAAGATATCCAAACACTCCTAAAGTTCTCAAGTTGAAAGCACAGTTTAACACACTCACCCAAACTGGTCTTTTTTCTCACCAACATTATCCCTTATGTCGAATAGTGCTTTGCTAACATTTTGATGTGTTTCAGTGTAGGTATGTGTTTTATGTATTATTTTATCTTCTATTGGGTCATCAGAAGTCATGACATATGTCTCTGTTTTCCTAAATACGTCATGACTTTTCTGACAGCCCAACAGTTATCTATCAAATTATTCAAGTTTGATGCCTGTATTTTTCTTTTCTTTTTCTTTTTAGATATTTAACAATAGTAAATTGTATTCGTTTCTATGATTGATTTTAAAATTCATCCTTTCATTTCATCTTGCTTGATTTTTTTCTGCAGCTAAACTAGAAATTTGTAGTTTTCCCCTCAACAAATGTGATGGTGCTCTTCCTTATAAATTACATTCTCTAATTTTCTTGTCAACCTGCTTCAAGGAAATTCAGGTGTTCAATATGCTTGCTCACAGCATATTAAACAGCATATTAAACCCAAACCAGGTGGTTGTTTAATCCAAATGTCTGAGCAGCAAACTAAGCCAATCCTTCTGGAGAAAGTGTGGCTGAACAGCTGAGACCACTCGGCAATGGAAGAGAAGACCACATGTCCTGAGCTCCCCTATCTGGTGTCAGGGGAGGATAGCTGATAATGGGATATGCAGTGTTACCAAATATCACCAGTCCCATTCCATTGCTCCTACCCACCACTGCCACAATACCACAGGAATACCATTCTCTTCATACTCAACTTCAGAGTTCCATCTGGCCCTTTGTGGGAACATGTTACCCAGAGTTCACAGAGAAGGCCACAAGTTCCACAAGCTTTCTTCATTTTTTCATGGTGACCAAGATCAGAGGTTGAGCCCATTAGTACTACAACCCTGTGTTGATTTCTGATTTCAGAAGTAATTGTACTCTCTGAAACCCACTGACTTTTTCTTCACCATCTGGAGTCCTTCAGGAGTTACTTCTCTCAGGTCATGGTAAGAATGCTTGTCTTTCTGTTGACTTTGATC